TTAAAATATGAGAAAAGTTGATTAAAATATAAATTAATAAAAATTGAATAAGTCTGTCACAAGTTGGTACCTTATCTGTACAATCTAATAATGATGACTATAGTTATATAGAAGTCCAATTTTGAAAATTTGCGTGTGATTGTCACGTCACGTGTTTGCAGTGTAACGCCCAAGGGAATAACAGAAAGAAATTAAATAGAACAAAAAATACGATCTTGGTCTCGCTCTGTCGATAAAACGTAACTATACTCATAACTCGGAATAAAGAGTAAAATAGGAAAGAGAAAGCCTTCTAGCTATTGTTTTCGTAATATCTTATGACGTAGTTTTAGGTGGAGTTATTTATTTGCGTCTTTAGTATATAAGGAACTAGTTGAAATTCATTGAACAGAAGTTACTTGACTAAAGAACTGTGAATATTATAGGCACAAAATATGGCTTTAACTAAATTGCTTTTGGTAAGATTAGTTAGAAATATTTTCAATTTATATTTTCTTTTAATGATTTAAAACTATTATCTATATGTATACTTTCAGATAAGGATGATTATTGGTATTCTGATTTCTTGTAATGTATTAGCTGAAGTTGTAGAGAAAGAATCTGTTGCAGAATCGAAAATTTCAGAAACGAAGAAAGAAGATAGGGATTCTGCAGAAAGTGGACAGGAAGGTGTTGTTGGTGGATTTGGTGGCGGTGCTGGACATGGTCATGCTCCTGTGTTATTGCTTGGCGGACACGAAACCGATTTTTATAAAGGAGCACTGGGAGCTCTGGGATATGGAGCTCAGAAAGGAGGAGAATTTGGAGAGCAGAAAGAATATATAACGATAGGTCATCATGGACATAAGGGCGCAGCCGGAGGTGGTAGTTATGGTGGAGCAGCTGGTGGTCATTTACAGGGCTATAGCGGCAATCATAAGGGAGGTGTGGTTTTAGATACTCATGCATCACTAGGCGATCTGAAAAACTATGGGGTTCCAGGTGGGAGTGATAAGATAAGTGTAATTTCAGGTGATCATCTTGGTGGCCATAAAGGTGGGTTGGCTGCTGAAAGTCTTGCAGGTTTAGGTGGTCATCTTGGAGGAATAAGTCATGGTATTCATAAAGAAGCAGGGCTTGGGGGTGGATACGGTGGCCTAGGAGGACATAAAGGAGGTTATGAATTATTAGGTATACATGGTGGTGGAAAAGGTGGTTATGGAAGTATTGGGGCAGGTCATTATGGAAAAGTAGGAGGTGGACATATTGGTGGCTTAGGTGGAAATATACATGGTGTTCATGGTATTGGTGGTTATGGTGGAAAAGGACATGCTGCCGCTTCAATTGGAGGAATTGATGGTTTAGCTGGGTACGGAGGAAAGGGACACAGTGTGCACGGTCTTGCAGGCCATGGTACGCACGGTCTCTCAGGCCATGGTGTGCACGGTTTTGCAGGCCATGGTGTGCACGGTCTCACAGGTCATGGTGCGCATGGTCTTGCTAGTCACGGTGCTCATGGTCTTGCTAGTCATGGTGCACATGGTCTTGCAGGTCATGGTGCACATGGTCTTGCTGGTCATGGTGCACATGGTTTTGCTGGTCATGGTGCACAGGGTCTTGCTAGTCATGGTATCTATGGTATTGCAGGTATCGGTGGTAAGGGACATGGTATTGCAGGTATTGGTGCTAAAGGTCTTGGTGGACATAAAATAGCTGGTTATGGTGGAAAGGGTCTTGGATTGGGTGGATTGGGTAAAATTGCAGGTTACGGTGGAAAGGGTCTTGGATTGGGTGGATTGAGTGGATTGGGTAAAATTGCTGGTCACGGGAAAAAGAAGAAACTTGGTGGATTTGTTTCTCATGGAGGTGGTCATCACTATGGAGGACATAAGAAAGGTTTTTCGGGACATAGTGCTCATGGTGGAGGTCATAAACAAAGCAAAGTAAATTACGGACTAGGACATCAAGGTGGCAAAAAACATCATTACGATAAAGGTGGTGTGTATTTTGATAAATACGGAAAAAATCTTCATGGATTGGCAGGCGGCGGAGAATATAAAGGAGGTAAATTTGGCTCGGAAAAATTTGGCGGAACCGGTAAAACAGGCGCACTTGCTGGAGGAAAATATTTTAAGGATAAGGGACACAAGAGTCGCGGTTTTAAAAATGTATATCACAAAGAAGAATACGGCGATCATAAATCGTATCATGATGATTTTCAAGATACCGATTACAAGAAAAAGCATCTTGGTAAGCTTGAATATTTTGATCATAACGGAGGAAAATTCCATAAAGCTCATGGTGGCAAAGAATTTCATGACGCTAAAAAACACGGCGATGATTATCACAAATTTGGTAAAGGAGGATACGATACCCATCACGGAGGCGATTATAAAAAAGGAGGCAAATATTTCGATGCTGGAAGCGGATATAAACACCACGAAGGAGCTCACAAACACTTGGGTTATGAAGGAGGAAGCAAAGGTTTCCATAAAGGATATGCTGGTAAAGCTATTGGACATGGACATGGTTATATTCCATTTCATCATCATGGTTAGAGTTAAAAGCGGGAAATAGTGATTATGTTAACGGTTATTAATTTAAATGGCGAATCCTTCATAATGTACATACGATACTTGCTAAGACAAGTAATTCTTTTATACGGTATTTATTCTTTGTGATGTATTCTTGATTAGGATATCGCTTTATAAATATATTTGTTGTATCTTTTGCTGTAAATTTTTGCTAATTTATAAATATTTGCCATGTTTCCCGAAGAGAGCAATTATATGTGAATTTTCACATGTTTTAATAAAAGTGTATTAATATTTATGCAAAATTAGTCTCATTTTTTCGTAAGATACTTTAATATATTCATTTCAAACGTACTTAAACATTTTTCAAAAAAAAATATTTTACATCCAGAAATGTTACAAGCTTTATAAACACAAAACAATTTCCATTCCTTCTGTACATATTAAATATAAACTTTCAGGAAATTGTTAAATCTAAATATAAACGTAAGTAAACCATAGAAAATGATATGTATATTTTATTTGGATTATTTACTTCTTATCAACAGAATAATTTTTAAAGATAAGAAAGGAAACCGGAAATTTCCGATTTTATCCCCCTTTAATCTACAATTAAAAAAAAAGTTTGAGGCTATATATTTTAATATATTCAAGCCAGGAAAATAAATTTGCAATTTCTTGTTCTTAATATTTATTAAGGAAAAGACACAAATATACTAAACTATTAGTAATACTTTAATTATTTTATTTATTATTTAATTATTTAATTTAATATAANTTTATATTATATACACTGTTAAACCTTTATGGGGCCCAGGTGTACTTGAATTAGGGGCCCCTGTATACAATGTTGACTTCAGATATTTTTTGAGGGGTAGTGTTTTTTTTTTTAAATGATTAGTTTGGGGCCCCTTGTTGATGGGGGTGCCAAAACTAATCTTTGGTTGGCCCCCTAGGCAATTTGGTTGGCCCTTTATGTTAATAGGACAACGCGCTAGTGGTCAAACCTCGCCTCTAAATGGAAGTTTTTCATGAACGTTTCTTTTTGAAATGCATACAAAATAACCTTCAAATAACGACCATTATTTTGGTTCTCGTCAGTGGCCGTTGTTCACAGGTTTGACTGTACAGTACATATTTATAGAAGGTTAGATTATCAGACTTCTCTGCCTACGGTCCCTTCAATCTCCTTTAATTCTATACCCGCTAAGAGCTACACTTTTTAAATTTATTTTAAACAGGATATTTAAATTTACTTATGGAAAAAAATATGATTATTTATAAACATAATCCCTTAAGTTTAAACTGTGTTTTCTTTTGTTAAATTTAACTCTTTCCTTATACCACAATCGATTAAAAATGTTATGAGATTTCTCTTTAAAGTCCATAAATTCTTTTTATGCATTTTTAAATAGGAGATAAAATCTGTACTCATTTAGGATGATTCACATTAGTATGACCCGATGGACAAGTGAATATGGTCTAAATTGAACCGGAATCATTGACCCATATTCAAAAATTCATCTTGAATCGAAACTTCTATTGAGTAAAGAATCAAAAGTTTTCAATATTTAAAGCTTAATAAATAATACAAATGAATAAATATTATTATTAAATATAGTTTAATAAATTCTTGATTAATAAATATTTATTAAAACGATAAAAAATAATATAAATATTCGTTTATTTTTGTTGACTATTAGTGCGAATAATAAGACTCAACTGCATAAATTTTGCCTGAAATTAGAACAAACATGCGGATTTTTACGTAATAGAACGGTATTTACATACCAAAAAAAAAAGTAAAATAAGTTAATAAAGGCCTACATAAATAAATATATTTATTATTTATTTTTAGGCTATAAGAATAATTTTTAAATAGAGCCTAATTTTAATTATAAATAATTACCTTTAAAAATCCTTTGGATACGTACTTTTATATGGTTATACTTGATAATATTTTGTATATATTTTAAAATTAAGTGAATTATATTCACTTAAAATACATTAAAAAATCAAAAAATATATATATTATATTTTAATATTTTATCAAAGAAATTAGGGAAAGTTTTGAAGTGAACAAACAAGATCACAAAATAATTTTAAATTTACGGAAGAATTATTAAAATAATGATTATGCAAGAGATTTTTATCACGTTGTACTACTAATTAGCTGTCATCTTAATAAGAAATAACCGTCTAATTCAACTATGGTAAAGAAATTCTTCATTAATAAATAAATAAAGCGCACGTATAAATAATGAATTAAAAAAAACTATATAAATTTAATAAAATTAACGTATTTTTATATAGATTTTTTAAATGAAAACTCTATAGAAGTGATAAATAAACAGATATTAGAAATACGTATTGCTTTGTGTTTCGCTTGATGTATGATGAGATTAATTTGTCTTACTGGAGTTTACTCATCGGAGAAAATAGCAACACATAAGAAATGCAATTACTTTTCTTGATCCCTGCTCTTGTTTCGCTTGATCAAGTCGAATCTGTATTCAATTAAGTATATACAATCGTATATAATCCGATTTATGATGATATAATGTTAGCCTCGAAGGATTAAGCAAATTAATATAGAAAATTCTTGATTCATCGATTTATTTTTAACTTATAAACAAATATTAGCTTTATATAAATAGTAAATGCTTTAATTTTAAGATATTTTTTTGTAAGGATATAGCCTATGGTTAAGGAAATGACTTACAATAATCTATTGTAAAAGAAAAGTTGAGTGAAAATTTATAAATTTATTTTAAATAAATTTATGTAAAATTTATCTTTATTTGTTTATTTTATAAAATCTTTAATGCGGAAGAAAAAAAATTGCAAAAGGAATGTAAGGAAAATTTTGCATAAGATGAGATATTTAAGACAAAAATCTTAAAATTCTAAAAATGTGGTTAAACAATTTTACTAAATTTTCCGCAAAAAAATACCTAAAAAATAAGAAAATTTATTATTATATATTTGAAAAGGGGCAATTGCTTCTACTAAAAGAATTCCGCAAATTATAATAGTGATTGAAAGATGTAATCTTAAACCCTCGATTATACGACTCTTTCTCCGTTTCCAGGCTTTGTCCCCTTGAAAACTTCTCTGCGGTTTTCCCATGCCAATGATCTATTTTATAAAGAAAATACAGTAAAACGTGTTTAAAACGGAACTTGAATAAAAAGAAAACCTGCCTAAACGGGAAAAATATTCGGTTTGGCAGGTTTCTGTTTACACAGGTTTTACTATATTCTGTAATCGTACTAGGTATGAAACAGGATTCAATATAATTATTGACATCTCTTTACTGTGCCGTTTTTTCGATTTTCAATATCGTTTTATTTCCGAATCATAAAATGGGGTTACATATATTAAAATTATACTTATTACGGGAAGATCTGACCCATGGTAAGATCGTCCAGCGTGAGTAAAGATGAGAAACGACCCATGCATCCATAATAAAACTAAAGGTTTCAGTTGGGTCGAACGTTTCACATTCCAATGAATTCAGTTTAACTACAAATAAAATACCTTATATACTTAATCATTAACAATGTGACCATTGTGCAAAATTTTACTGTCTCTTATACGTCAATGTTTTTCAGTAGTATGCAAAATAACCGGTATTGTGATATGAATTATTTTTAATTTATTATTTTATATAATATATTTATTAAAGCTGTGTTGTGCAAATTTTATAATAACCTGGTCGAATCCACAAGGAATCTTAGTATCTAAAATGCAAAAAAAAAGTAAAAAATAAAAGCCCAAAAAATTATAATAATTGGGGTAATGCAACTTTTCCTTATAAATTAGCAATAAACCTTATACAAAATTGTTTTATATTGTAATGATTTTAATGCAAATCATCATTTTCTATTCATTTTTTCCTCTTATATTTTACTCCTAAATTACAGCTTACATAACTATCCACTCTTAATGTATATCATCAGAGATTTACATAGATCCAATTTCTCATAAATGTTATCTAATCTTGTTACAATATTATAATTTTTCGTATTTATATATATATGCTAATAAGGCCTTATCGATAATTACTTACAATAAATATCGTTATTATATTATTTAAAAAACATGCATAATTCTAAAGACATTTGTAATATTTTCATGCTCTTGTTGAGACATTCATAAATCACGTTTATTTATTAAGTATTTAAACTATAAAATTATAATTAAAAATATCTCTTGTTAAAATCTAAAGCATTTTTATTATAATTTTATTATTATGAAGCGTTTATCTTATGTTTAAACAGTTTTTTTTTATAAGGTTTCGATTAATATATCAAACCTTTCCTTATAGTGAAATGGAAATCCATAGTAAATCTCTTATTTGAGAATGATTATGATTTTCAAAGTTGTTGAAGACCTTCAATTTTACTGACGACGGACCGTATCGTCTGACCGGGAAAGGAACCATGTCAAATATACTACACCCAATTTTCAATATCCAATTAGTATAAAGAATAAGAATGAAACAGAGCGCTAAATTTCGAGTATATATGAACATATATATACTATAGACTATATATAAANGGTGACACTGATTACAATAATACTTTTGTTTATAAAATAATGTTAATAAAATCAACATTATTTAAATTTTTCTATAATATTAATTAATTTGTTTATGTATTTTATAAAACTTAAATATATTTAACATTATAATTGCATTTTTTAAGACACTATATAAGAATTAATAGTAGAATATATAACAATAAAAAAGCCATAAAATTTAAATAAATAACAATAATTTAATGTTCTATATTGTGAAAACGTTTAATTTTATATTATAATTTCCACAATTGTAGCAATAAGAAATCCTTCATTATGTAATAATATATATTAAAATAGGAAATAAAATTAGTTAATAAAAGTAAAAATATATATATTATTTGATGATATAAATATATATAAAATGGAAAACAGTTTTAGTTACATCTATTGTTCTTGTCTGATACAGAAAAAAGTATTAGTGGAACAATTATTGAAAGTTC